CAGGGTCAAACTCCTCCCAGATAACACTCTCAAGATCCACCCCTATCATCCCATCCGAGGCTACCCAATCAGAGTCCAGGCCATCCCGAATCTGAGCGATTTTATCATGCAGATATTGCACAAAATCCTCAGCTCTACCCTGCAAGGGATCATCCCGCACTCCCACCTGCAGTAGAGAGTGGGTCACCCTAAACAGGGCGGCTGGGCGGTTCTCTGCAGATGCAATAAGAGCGGACAAATAATTAAAATAATTTGCCACTCTTATTGCCACTAGGTAGGTCTTGATATAAGACCTCACCAGTGTCCGGTCAGATTCGGTGCGGCTGGCCCTCCAATCACTCTCTAGGCATCTTTTCCGGCGCTTCATCTCTCTCAGCTCCTCGGAAAACCAAGGAGCTAATTGAGATCGGTACCGGGTCAGAGGCCGCAAAGGCATGATGCGGTCCAAAGCTCCAGCAGCCGCCCTGTCCCAGGTGGCTACCAATTCTTCAGCCAAGTCGTGAGCCAGAGCCTCTGGGAATGGCCCAAGCTCCGTCAGGAACCTGTCCGGGTCCATCAGGCGCCTGGGACGGAACCACCTGGTCGGTTCCGTCTCCTCTGCAACAAAGGGAAGCGGCCCGAAAGTCTATCCGAAGGAGCGAATGATCCATCCATGACAAGGGATTAATGACTAACTCCCCTAAATCAAGATCATTCAGCCACTGACCAGAAGCAAAAATCAAGTCCAGTGTGTGTCCCCCGATGTGAGTGGGGTCATGAACTAACTGGGTCAGGTCCATGGCCGTCATGGAAGCCATGAACTCCCGAGCTGCTTCCAACGTTTCGCCGACGGATGGCACGTTGAAATCCCCCATGACCATAAGTTTGGGGGTATCCACCGCCACCCCGGCTATTATGTTGAGTAGCTCAGGCAGGGCTGTTGCCACGTGGCAGGGAGCCAGGTATGTGATCAGCAGGCCCATCTGCACCCCATGACCCCACTTCACAAGGAGGGACTCACAACCGGCTACCTGAGGAACAGTGGCCTCCCTCTGATCCAGACTTTCCTTAATAATCACCGCTACCCCCCCGCCCCTCCCCTGGGCCCTCGGCTGATGAAATGCATGGAAACCTGGTGGGCACATCTCAACGAGGGAAACCCCCCCTCCTGGCCCAACCAGGTTTCCGTAATCCCCGCCAGGTCTGCACCCCCCTCCTGGATTAGATCATGAATGAGGGGGGCTTTATTTACAGCAGACCTGACATTGCACAACATCAGCTGAAGGCTCGGGCCCTGAGGCTCTGCGCAACCAGGGTTACAGGAAGCGCCGTGGCGGCCAGAGCACGCCACCGCTCGCAAGTAGCAGGTGCGTACCCCCCAAACATAATACGGCCCCCTGTGCCCACCATATCTACCCCTCCCACCCACTGTGCTAATGGACTGGCCCTTCACCTCTTCCCCCGGCACCCTTTCTAAACCCTCTTCCCCCACTCCTCCCGCCATGACCCTCAGACTCACTCTGCCGTTCTGAAACTCCATGGACCCCCCCAGGTCCATTTTTATCCCCACCCACACCCACACCCTCCCCCAAACCCCCTAAAAACTCATTAAAAGCCCTCTTTAAAAAAACCCTCACCCTCCTCCTTGCCACATGCCACTTCTCGGGGTCCCAAAACCCATCATTGAGGTAGGCCCTCGCTAACGTAGAGGGCCAGGCCTGCGAGAGGGGGGAATCTCGCAGCGCAAAGAGCTCGGCCGGTGAATACATCCCAAATCAGCCAGGGAAAATGAATAAGGCCGGGGATTCAAAGGTGATAGTCTAAGCAACAAGGTCCTAGAGGGAGAGTCCGCCATTTCGGACTCTCTCATATTAAGGAAAAATACTGCTGTCAGCAGCCTAATCACATATGCAAGGTTAAAGGAACTAAGATAGTGTCCCCAAGGGTTGCAGTTTGAGTTGATCGCAAAGAGTGGGCTTCTGCATTTTTACTTGGCATCTGTAACTGGAAAACCAATAACTTTCTCCTTTGATGCTAAATGTCAGCAGCCTGATTTGCTCCTGGTTCTCAGGAGCCCTTTTGTAGAAGACTGATTTTTCCCAAACTGTTCTCAAAGTGCCTAGTAAATTAGAATATTATGTTTACTTTTTACTCTATTTCTCCTCTTGAAAACTCTAGAAATCAAGCTATTTTTCTAGTCCATTATGAGAAACATTTTCCAAAATATTTTCTTGAAATTCTTGGTCTCCTATCAAGGAAATTATACTTAGGTTCCATTTGGAAAATTAATATTATGAAACAATTTCCATGTCATTAGCACCGGGATGCACCAAAATTGCTAATTCCGTTTGTCATTATCTGTCTATCTAGAGAATCTGTGATTTGCACAGCTGGTGCAAATTGGCAAGTCAATGTGCAATGTACAGACATACTGATTCTGTACATACAAACTCATACCTGTACTTTTCATGATCAGTTTCCTGATCACTATGTGTCTTGTGATTGTAGAAGAATATCCTCATTTTGAGAGGATGCAGGTTCGGCTGCAAGCATTGTATTTCATTCCCAATCTCTTCATGTGACACATTATTTCCCCTAAACTCTTATTCTCTGTAACTGAAGACCAGCTGTTAATAGAGGGATAATGCTATCTCATCCCTGAAGTTTCCACCCACTGGCAATTAAGATTGCTTCAGCTCTTCTGAACTAATTAACTTGCACTCTATGAATGTGTATGCTTGTTATACTAAACATACACTCAGAACCTCTGCCCATGGCAATCTTATTATAAATATCATATACCGTACAATATATATACTATGCTGGTAATTTAAAACATATGATGAACAGTTGCAGGAACTGGGCATGGCTAATCTAGTGAAGAGAAGAACCGGGGAGACATGATAGCAGTGGTCCAATATTTGAAGGGCTGCCACAGAGAGGAAGGGGTCAAGCTATTTTCCAAAGCACTTGAAGGCCAGACAAGGAATAATGGATGGAAACTAAACAAGGAATTATTCAACCTGGAAATAAGGAGAAATTTTCTGACAGTGAGAGCAATCAACCAATGGAACAGCTTGCCTTCAGAAGTTGTGGGAGCTTCATCACTGGAAGCTTTCAAGAAGAGACTGGACTGCCATCTGTCAAAAATGGTGTAGAGTCTCCTGTTTGGGCAGGATGGGGGTGGGGTTGGACTAAATGGACTACAAGGGGTTTAACTAGTTAGACTACAAGGTCCCTTTAATCTCTGTTTAATCTGTTAAATTCCACACCCTTACTATTTTACTGGTTTGCTACCTCCAGATCTGATTTAATGTGATTCAGGATGGGAAATAATTTACTTACCAAATATCAAGCCCCCTACAGAGGTTCATAACAAAGATAGCAAAATTCTCACATAAATTGTTAGAAGGCAGATTTATTGCCAAAAAAAGAAAAAAGAATTTTAAGTTACAGAATCTTGGAGAGTGGAGATAGATAGATAGATAGATAGATAGATAGATAGATAGATAGATAGATAGATAGATAGATAGATAGATAGATAGATAGATAGATAGTCGGTCTTCATTACTGGTGACCACATTAAAGCAAGGACTCAACTCTCTTTTACCTTTGATCCTCTTTCTAACAGAATCTTAGTTAATTGGGGAGGATGTTAATCATTTGTTTCTACCACACAAATATGTTCTTGTTGTGCTGTATTTTGGAAATGTCAGTTTTCATTCACAGGCTAAAAGAATTCCATCATCCCAAAGTGGTAAGCCTAGATACCTGGTTTCTGAAGTTGCCTATTTGCTTAACTGCCTTTTTATTTGTTTATAAAATAAGTTTATATAGCTGCCCAACTCATACACAGTGACTTTTCATTCTAACCCTTGTTCCTGTTGATGTCCGTCTGATATCTAAGTCTTCCACCATTTGCTCCTTCTGTTGTTTACAGTACAAATGTCATTATTAGCCTCCATTATATTTTGAATATTTTCAAAGAAATTCACTTGTTGATCATTTAAGATCAAATACATAGCTTATACTGTAAGCATTTATAATAAGTAGCATTTATTAAACTGTTTTTTGTATAAAGTGGTTTTAAACTGTTATACTCAATGAGATCAAAATAAAGATGGTATCAGGGAAATGTTTAAGTAGATATATAGAAATGTGTATATTTTTTTAAAATTATTAATCAGGGAAAACTTTATAAAGTTATAAGATGATAGATGAGTCCATTGCTTCCAAACAAAATAAATAAAAATGATCAAAACCAAATGTTCAAACACATTTATAATATGAATTTATATTATAAATAATGGGGATGATTTAAGTTTATTAGAATATTACTGCTGCAACCAAGTCTGCAACCAATGGGCAGAATGAAATAATATAAAAACATTTATTAATGTTTTGTGTGTATTAATTATATGTAACTCATTATGTGGTAAAATATTTTAACAATCAAGATCTAATCTGTTTTATCAGCCTTCTGAAAAATGATTTGGGAAATGAACATCAAATACTTTTGCTTCAAAGTATTGAATAAATGAAATGTTTAAGGGAGTTCAAATATTAACCATCCCCACACCAACTTCTTTTACATTTATACCAAGCCATGCTTTTGCATCCTTGATTTGTGGGAACCAAATGTGGAACTTAATTGTTTTATGTAAATTATAAAGTTACATTGTGAAGTAAACCTTTATTTGTATGGCTACCATAAGAACTGGAAAGTTGGTAGCAACATAATTTGTCACTATTAGGAGATTCAGGATCAAGCTTTAACCCCAACTCATAACACAGCTTTAACCTTCTTTCCCTTATTGTTTTTTCTCCTATTTTTAGCACATTACTTCCTGGCCTATTCTTGCTTTCAGATTCATGGGTCATTACATTACCTGTATTAGCCCCTTTAGTAATAAACTTTAATATTATCTAATTTGAATGTAATTAGATTATTTTAGTGAAGTGAAATAGACTCCCAATATGAATAGAAGGGCTAGAAATTCATGAGTTCTGTTTGTCAACAGGGCAAGTACATCATGGTCAAGTTTCCTATCTTGTTCCTCCAATTCATCTAGACTCAGATCTTGAAAGACAATCATTTAAAGGTGAGTTGCTATTTAAATCATTCTACGCTGAAAAGAAACATTTGTTAATCAGAGTTTGTCTTCATATTGATCCCACAAAGTTCTTGAAAGAATTTGTTGTTGTTGAAAATGCTAATCTTTCTGGAATAAGATTTAGTCTCTATTTTATTGCAATGTTTTCATATATTTAATTCATGGTTGTTTTTCTAATACTAGAAAATACTAGAAAACAAAAAAGTACACCACCAATCTCAAAACAATTTAGAGTCATCAAAAATGATACCAAGACAAAAAGGACACTGGCTATCAAATTTAGGCTGTAATCTAGTGAATGAACAGAAGTGTGCATATTTTCAATTATTTTCCAATCTAAGAATTCAATTTTCTATGTTTGAATTCACTTTAAATTCACTTTGGCTTGGCTCTTTTTCTTCTGAGAAAGAATTTGAAATAGTAGTTGTTACAAATCAAATATGAATCAGTAGCATAAGGTGGCTACAAAAGGATCAAATACAATTTGAATTGGAATTAACAGAAGTATAGTTTCCAAATCGTGAAAAAATGTTGCATTTTCCTTCTAAGTACTCAGACAAAGTACTCAGTGAGAAAGATTCAGAGAAACTGAAACAGGTTCAAGAAGGGTCCTAAGTCCACTGATTTCCTATTTACTTTTGTATTTTGTATCTTATTTTATTTTATAACTCAATAAAAATGTTAAACTCGAAGAAGGGTCAGGAGAATAATCACGGATTGAAAATTAAATCTTCCATTGCTACTTGGAATGTTTAACACTGAAAATACAATTGAGGGACAGATATTGCTTAACGCATTGTAAGCCGCCCTGAGTCTCCAGAGAAGGCCTTTTTTCTGCTGACAAACTGCAACTCTGTGTTGCTCTCTGGGAGACTCAGATAGCTATTTCTGCCTATTAAGGCGTCATCAGTGAGGCCCAGAAAAGGCCCAGAAACTTGTGAATGAGATTTCACAGAACCAGGGCTGTAGAACAACTTAGTTTACGTAGGTAAAACCTGGCTAGAAAGAATATGCACATAAAAGCCTACGAAAAAGGGAAAAAGACACATTGTACCTTTACAGGGAGGATATCTGAGAAGTGGGTGTGGCTCACTGATGACGCCTTAATAGGCAGAAATAGCTATCTGAGTCTCCCAGAGAGCAACACAGAGTTGCAGTTTGTCAACAGAAAAAAGGCCCAGAAACTTAGGCTGATTAGAACAGGTTTAAAAGCATAAGATAATAACAAACAGAGGAAATAAAAGTTTTTCTGATTCAGTGTGTTTAAGCATGACTATGGCCGGGCTATACTACACTTTAACATACTGTTGTCTTTCAATTCTTAGACTGTATCTTTGGTAATTTAAAGATGAATCATCCAAACCTACAAATTAATGTTGTTGATCCTGTCATGTTGTTTAATATTGTGTGCTATTTTAATTATTATTTTGTTACCAAAGACATAAAAAAGTTGTGCCCTCTAAATGTTTTGTATTTCAATTTTTATTACTCTGGTAAATATGGCCAGTGACATGACATTCTGGGAGATATAGACCATCTGGAAGACTTCAGATTGCCTGCTCTGAGTATAAACTAATTTTATAGAGTGACATGTTAAAATGATATCCTTCTTTTCTTATTGCCAGTGGCTATTTAGCAATAAAGTCTTACGTCACTCAATCAGTTGATAAAAATATGGAAAAGGAAAACAAAGGGGGGGAAAATTGTTCTCCAGATAAAAAATATTTTGACATTTGTGGAAGGAAGGAAGGAAGGAAAGGTTAGGGTTGTTACTAACCCTAACCTTTACAGATAAAAATAACTTTAGATCAATATTAACTATGATTTCTACATTGTTAATGTTGATATTGGCATTTCAGTATTTTACAATTGTTTATTAATTCATATTTAACTTTTGATGTTAAACTTGAACAACTTTATGCTTATCGACAATTTAGAAATCATAGTTAATATTTATATAAAGTTATTTTTATCTGTAAAGGTTTGAGTTTTTTAAACATCAGAGTATTAATAATCTCCAGTCCACACTGAATAAATACCACTGAACCCAAATAATATATTGCTTATGCTTTATAATAGTACAATATGTAATATAAAGGATAAATCTAGTTTCCCATTCCATTCAGGAATACAATTTAAACATTCACAATATCCTGTGCTTAAAAGCATTCCAGCTATTAACCAGAGTAATTAATTCTGCTATTAAATGACTGTTATATTTTCCATAACAGAATCTGCCTTTCTATAACTGAAATGTCATTGTACAAAGGAATAGTTTTTTTCCAGTAAAACATAGTAAAGAAACTTCACAAATTTCCCTAAAAATCATGTTTGAAGAGCTCATACAATCTTCTATTTTCATGCTATAATCCAAATTAGAATACCCACAAAAAATAGCTTCCAGCCTCTGATTGATTACATTCCACTGTAGGAAACCCTTAACTTCTTTGATTTATTAATACCACTATCAAACAATTATAATTATTTTTAAACAAAACCTGTAAATGTTAACCATTATTCTAGGTCCTGTCCTTTCTTAATTTTCTCCTGTTTTGTACCCTTTAAGATATTTTGAAGTGTGTTCTAACATATTGTCTCAGTTTTAACTTTTCAAAATTAATATTGTTTAAGTCTTCCGTCATTCAACATGGGATCTAGTTTCAGATCTCCTGATTACACTCATTGCTTCCTCTGAAAATGCATAGTTTGTTGAACTCTTTCTTTAAGAAAAGTAGTCAATCACTTATACAGTTTCATGAGTTGAATATGCTTTACATAAAATTTTTGAACCAGCTATATATCTACTTACATGTAATTTGTTTCCTAGTCAGGGACAGTGTTAATCCAATGTGACTTGTTCTTAACAAATGCATACTGGGTTCTGTTAATCGCTTGGTTTCAATGTGCTTTGCTAGTCATCATGATCATCTATTGATGCCCAACTCTATTTTTCTGTGTCCCTGTTTCCCCAATTTTGAGGACAAGCAAAATATTTGCATTCCTCCCATCTGACATATCAGCTTTTGTTTAGGATTCATCAAAGGTACAGTAATAAAATTTCAGCCAAACCATCAGCAAGTTCCCACAATACCATATCAGCAATTCATCTGGCTCTAAATTTTAAAACTCATTCAGGGTTAGTTCAATTTGCTGATTCTGCTTTTGTTATTCCCGAGCTTCAATCATTCCTGTGTTCTGCTCTTCACAATTGCCTAGTGAAAGACATATTTTCTTGGTGAAGAATAGCAAATTAAACTGGGGTTTGAGTAGTTTTCTGTTAAGTAGTCCCATACTTTTTTTTCTTTCCCATTCATCTTCTTACCTCATGCTTCTTCTGTGCTGCCACACTCGCCTTCACTTCAGCTCCCCATACCTACTCCCTCCTCCAGGGGAAAATACTTATGGCTCAGCATGTGTGGTATTGCCTGGGCATCATTGTGGGTGCTGGGATAGCTAAGCAGTCAAAGTCTTCTTGCAGGGTATCTGGGGCCAGTGGACCTTCAGGAAATTGGTAATGGCAGATGGGTCCCTGAGTCACAAGCATCACCAGCCAAGGCAGCAGGTGCCCCCACATCTCAATGAAGACTTAAAAGCTTACACCCATGCCTCTCCCTCCTTCCCTGGCTGCAAGTGCTGCCTCTGCTGCATTGCTGGGGATTTCTTTAGTTTACCTACAGTAGTTGGTGTTGGCATAGAAAAGACTGAACATTTACCAGAGGGAATAAGGAAAGGTACAAAACACAAAAGAGGGTGCAGGCTGGTACAGAGATTTTACATTTGACAAACCAACTGCTTTCTTCTCTGCATTGCCTACCTCGAACACTTATCCACTGGTCAGTCCCACGTGGATTAATAAGTAATGAGATTGGAGAAGGTTTCATTTTCATTTTCATTTCACATCTACACCTGTTCGATTGGATAGTGTCACATGTCATTCTCCTTCTGATTGGTTAAAGTATTCTTCATGCCTACCTCGTGACTTTTGCCTGCTTTGCAGAAAGAAGGTTGGGCCAAGAATGGGTAGATTCTGCCAATGTTGGGATTTCCTCCACCCCTTATTAAAGCCTGCAGGTCCATTTTCCAAGAGTATTTGCAATAGCAGCTGCAGAGTGTACACTGCACCTGTTGGAAAGCCATGCCCTTCCCCTTCCTCCATTTTTTTCCTCCACCCACAAAGCACCTTCCACTCAAGAAACTGCAACCAGTTCTCTGCGCCCTTACCATGTGCATCCAAGTGCTGTCCCCTCACTCAGTGCCTGAATCTCAGGCCACCAGCAGGAGGAAAAAATACAAAGGTTACCTGCAGGTAATGGGGGGCAGTGGAGTTGCTGGGGGAAACAGAGTTAAGTTGCAGAATGCAGGGCACCCAAAAAGGCAGATATTGGGGGAGGAGGTGGATATTGGGGAGTTGAATTGCCCTTGAAGTTGTAAGTGAAATCATGTGACCATAGAGGCATTGCAAAAGCTGTAACTTCAGGCACAGGTTGCAAATCTCTTTGTTCAGCACCATCATAACTTGAAACAGATGCTAAACGAGTAGTTGTAAGTTGAGGACTACCTACATAAACATATGTCTTTACCTGAGAACCTTCTATAAGATAGCTGTTGTGATAAGTTTTACTATGTTTCAGTGAAATAAATGTTTGCCAGTGCAGCCATCTCAAACCCACAATCCATCCTCTAGAGAAGTTAGAACATACAGTAGCCCCAGAGACCAAGAGCCTCTTCTTTCAAAAATATATCTAAAGAAAATAATTCAATGGAAGTATCTTTTAGCCTTTTTTCAGTTCTCCTATGTAGGCTCTTCTCCTTTCATTTTTGTGTACGATATCATGATTCACATATAACAGAGGCAGAGATAGCATTTCAATGGTACAACCCTGTTTTTACCATTTTGACAAAGCATTGGATCATGCACACCCTTCTAGGAGAATGGATAAGAACAAGAAGGGATAACTAAATATAAATAAAGTTAATAAATAACTGTCAACCATTTGATACATTTTGATTGTTCCCTCATCATTTTAATTTGCTGTCTTGGCATACAGCACCCTTTAAAACCCAGTTGATCTAGTTTGCATGCCTTTGTTTCTATTCCTAATAACAGTGAGTTACCATAACTTTTCATTTTGCATAGTACAGCTACATTCCCTCTGCTCTTTGACAACCCACATTCCTGTTCAATAGCTCTTTTTCCATGTTTCTCTCATCATCTGTTTTTGGTTGTCATTCTTGTCCATTGGGCATGCTTCTTTTTTATTGGTATCTTCTTCTTCTTGTGCCATATCCGTCATCAGACACTGGCAATCATGTTGGCAATCCTATTTTTTTCAACAGCCGCATGAAAAAGTGCTGCTGAGTTTTGTCCAAACCAGTCCCTAAGGTTTTGAAGCCATGACCTGCCTGGACCTCATTTGCCTTCAATATTTCCCTGGAGGATTAAGTGAAGTATGCCATATTTTTCCGGGTGTCGCATCGCATGTCCAAAATATTCTAACTTTTGCTTTTTTATGGTTTTGATGATCTCCCTTGACTTTCCCAGGCGGTTTATCACTTCCTTATTTCTGATTTTGTCAACCCAGTTTATATGTAACAGACGCCTGTTAATCCACATTTCAAATGCTTCTAGTCTCTTCAAGTGGCTTTCTGTCAGAGACCAACTCTCTGCTCCATAGAGCAGGATAGAAAAGATGTAACATCTGACGGTTCTGATATAGTACCCCCTTTCTTTGATCTAATACATTTTTTTCTTCCTTTATAAATGAATACAGTTTTGTCTTCTTTTATTTGCCTTTCCTTTATTGGTCTAATTTCCTTTATTCATCTAATACAGTTTTGTCTCCCTTCCTTCCTCAATTCTGAACTTTTGCCCAAGCATTATTTCTTTTTACATTTATTTTATGGAAGAACTCAACCATCTCTCAGGTGTTATAAGTCTTGACTGCAAAGTGCTGTCTATTTATCTTCACTTTTGTTTATTAAATCACTACTTTCAGGTTAACAAAGCAATGTTCCATTTGAGGAAAAGTTCATTAGCCACCTCCTGCTACTGAATTTTTACACCAGGACTCAGCCTTCCTTGCTGAGTTTTCTTGGAAAACTGGCTGCTTTATATTTCTTCTAGACTCCCTGCAGCAGCCCCAACTCATTTAGCAGGGAGCAGTCATTCAGATCTCTCAACAATGGGAATTAAGATACATTCTTTGTAATCAGTAGCTATTAAGGAGATTAGATTCTCCCCCTTGTCTTTTTTCCTGTTGAATACCATTGCTGATCATCTGTTTGCTCTTCTTCTTCATGCTCTTGCTAATTTCAATAAATATTGAAAACTTTGTTTCAAGATAAATTCATTCCTTTGGATTAAAGAAGAAAAAACAGGAAGTAGTCTAAAAATAATTTAGCTTCATCACATGTTTCAAGTATTAAACCATAGAATCACGGCATTGGAAGGGACTGTGGAGGTCATCTAGACTAGTCTTCATACCATCCTGAGCAAATAGCAGTTCAATCTTTTCTTGAAAATTCCAAAGATGAAACATCACAATTTCAGGAGGCAGGCTGTGAGATTTTAAAAATAAGTAGTATGCAATGATAAAATAGTCCCATGTATTTTCCAGAATTACCCCAGATACTTTACTATAGATGTACAATTATCATCTAAATGTAACTGTATTCCTACAGAATGTCAAGTAGGTGTGCTTATCTTAGCATTTAGCCATTGTTGCAACTTTATTATTTTTTCTCTATTTGGTTAAATTGGATTTAATTTTTTTCTTGGTATTTTAATATCCTTAGAATTCCCTAAAGAATAGCAGCATTCATATATTCCCAACTCTAGCAGAACATTTCATGCATAGGAAGAGGAACAAAAAATATAAGATTTGCCACTAACTTGTTTTTGCTTTGAATTGATAGCATCAACATCTGGAGGAACAGGCCTGGGTGGGACTACCACAGGCACAACAAGCAGAGTTATTACAAGCAGCACTGTACACACAACCACTATATCAGCCTTGGGTAGAAGGAACAGAAGCACAACTACACTTTCTCCAGCTTTGGATAGTCTGAATGAAATGACAACACATCTGCCACCTGCCTCTTCCCAGCTGCCTGCAGTTGGTGCAGAGAGTTGTGAAACTGTGGAAGCTCGTGAAATCATGTGGTTCAAGACCCGACAAGGACAGATGGCTAAGCAGCCATGCCCAAAAGGCACTGTGGGTAAGCAGCCATGCCCCAAAGACAATTTCTTTGCTCTATTAAGACATTGAAGCAGGAGTTACTTAATATTAAACGAATAACAGGGTATCAAAGGTTTTGCTTGTTCTTCGCCTTCTTTCTGTCTTTTTGCAAAATGATCTGTGTGGAGGTTTCAAAAAAATAGCATCAAAAGGCTATAAATGTTTATTAAATCGTCTTTTTAACAATGGTTGGCCCACTTAGAGTCCTGGATTCTGGAATGATTGAAGAGAATTTCCTCTGCCTTGATCTGTTTTCTTGAAGAAATCCTAATTTCCACGTGAGCTCGTAAGGTGGAAATAAAAAGGAAACTTCCAAATGTCCCCTCTTATTTATTTATTAGATTTTTATCCTGCCTTTATTGCTTTATAAATAACTCAAGGCAGTGAAAATATATAATACTCCTTCCTCCTATTTTCCCCACAGCGACAACCCTGTGATGTGATTTGGACTAAGAGAGAGTGACTGTTCCAAAGTCACCCAGCTGGCTTTTGATACAGATCCTAACAAGCAATGATAACTTTCTCATTGCAATGCCAGCCCAAGGTCCGTGAATCAAATTAAATCAATTTTTATTGCACTCCTTAAGCAGTACAAAGCAAATATAACAGTATGCCCAAAGATGTAAGAAAATGCAGATAAAAAGATTCACTCAGCAGTAGGCCTAAGGATAAAACTAAAGGATTAAAACGAAGAGAGTGAGTGTAAGACAATTTCAGCTAAAAGAACATTTAAAAATTAAAAGCCTCACTGAGTGATTTTGATTTTTTTAAAAAAGAAAGCACTTAATCCTTAACTTAGAGTTAGACCATGTTTAGCTGACCGTAAACCAGAGCTCCAGGTGTTTTTAGTTATTTTCTTATTTTAAATGCAGTCTGTAGAACTTGGCTATGGCAACTATCACAGAACCTTTCAAAAGTGTCTCATAGAGTGCAACATTTTCTGGTAATATTGATGGTGGAACATCCCGTCTCAAGATGCCTTTTTGGACCTGTGAAATAAGAATATCTATTCTCCAGTTTTTAATATATTCTTGTTGCCTACGTTTGAAAGATTGTTTCAGTTCAAGATACTGATGGATCAGGCTAATGAAAATGGATTTTCATGGCACAAAAGCTTCCCTTAGTATAGAAAATAGTTCTCTGAATTTTAAAAAAGTCATCCAAAACTAATAAAGAGGAATGTTATTTGCATATTCATTGCTGAGCTAGATTGAAAGTATTAGTGCTTAACAGAGTTGCTTGTTTGGTGAGATGGGCAGCTGGAAAAATTGGAAAAATTTAAAAAATGGAACAAATAAAGTCAATGATGCATGTTAAGGACATGTCTTTTCAGTGGTAATGTCCTTTTTGATTACCCTTTGAGTAACATTTATGTTGGCAATGATTTAATTTGCCCTGGTATTATATCAGTTAGGTAATCTATTAATAAGAGGTTGTTTTATAATTTTGTTATACAGTATGACATTGTAGCATAACAAGGTTGTTCTGCATTTTATATATTACCATGATATTTTATAATATAGTGTGACCTAAATATATTGTTGAACATGTCAGTTCATTAACAAACTGTAGTATTAATATTAAATACCTCTTTTCCATTGGTTTGGTATTAAAAAATCAGAGACAGTACTTGCTTTTAAGATCCAAATCAGTAAATTGGAATTAAAACACAGCTGCTCCTGTTCTAACGTAACAGTGAGTGAAAGACTGGAGGATGGAAGACAAAATTATTTTGCTCAGCATTTCTCCCTATGTTCAGAATATATATATGATTCAAAATTAAGACGCTCGGCTCTACTTTAATAGAGTCAGTGATTATATTTTTTAAAATACTGTAATTAGTGAAGTTATTAACTAGCTATTTGAGGGTTTAATTTTTTTCCATGAAAAAATATTTTTGAATTCTCAACATTTTCATGTAAAGATTGGCATGCAGAATTATTTTCAGTTTGTTTTTCCCACAATTTCAATTATGGGAAATCATCCCTGTTTGGCTTCTGTCTTATTGTTACACATCAAGTGCCCCTATGTATAGTTTTTCTTAAGAGTATATCAGCTGTGAAGGTCTATGGTTTTATTTACAGTATCTAAAGGTTGGGGGGGGCATTTTAAAAAGTTATCCTTGCCATAAAATAATGTGGATTGAAAGGATTCCTTCTGCCTTTCAATCACAAACAAGGGACTAAATTTTTAAAAAAGCTTCACTTTCATATAAATTTAAGTTAAATAAAAATTCATTTCACAGAATGCCTTCCATAAGATCATCCATCATATGAGGATGGAGGTTCATTCTCCAAGCTTGTGGGTTGGTTTCTGAAAGATAGGTAACATCTTCAGCGGAATTTAGGGAATGTCAGTGTCAGTATCCTTCTGCTTATAAGGCTTCATGTGGTCAGTGGGTCTTGTGATGGTGAGATTGCATCAAGTAAGGGTCACATCAGGCCAGGGTCTTGTGGTGGGTCTTGTGGTGGATGATTCTTGTATTGCTCCAACCCAGTGGTGAAATTCAGCCGGTTCTATCCGGCTTGGGCAAACTGGTAGCGCTGGCGGCAGGAGGCTCCACCCACCTGCCCAGGCATCATCACAACCCGTTTTTGACCCTCTGTGCATGCGTGGAGGAAGCGCATGCACTCACATTTGCAAGCCAGTAGCAAAGGTAAGTGGATTTCACCCCTGCTCCAACCAACCTGTGCCGTCACCCATTATATGCTTAGTAATTTCTCCTTTTGGTCACATTAAGCCCTATAATTCTGTGACTGTTTTTTCAAACTCTGGGAGCTGCCTCCAACAATTCAAAGCTGGTGTAGAATTCTGGACTTCAAAGTGCTAGGAAGTTTATTTTGCATTGTCTCAGTGATAACATGAGTTTTCAGCCCAGATAGTTATATCATAAATCTAGATATATAGGAACACAAATAATGTTTGTTTTCTCAATCACAATGATATTTTTCTAAGATATAAATTAATGCTTGGACTAGGAGGAAAAGAATTATCTTCTTCAAAAAGTTATCTTATTGGTTATTAATCCAAGCATGACATTGTCATAATTTCAGGCGTTTCTACGTTTCTGTGCCTTGCTCCTGGTGGAAACTGGGATCCTCAAGGGCCAGACCTCAGCAATTGTTCCTCACTTTGGGTCAATCACATCACTCAAAAGGTAATTGTTCATTTAGACTTGATAAATGTGTGCTAATAGTGTATGTTACAGTCATTCTGCATTCATTTAAAAACAAGTTTTTGTAATCAAAACTTTGAATAAATCAGAGCAAACCATTGTATGCAGCAAAAGGAAGAGCCCTGGAGAACTATGTCAGACAAAGGTATAAAAGAGGCTGAAGATCAGTTTCAGCATGACTTATCTTAAGTTAGAGCTTGACTCAAGGACTCCATGAGAATAATCAGAAATGTGAATCTTTGTAACTCAAACCTTTTAGATATCCTAAAATCTTTTAGAAGTGATGTTTTATTATGTAAAAAAAATCAGAAACTAACTCATGGATGAAAATTCAGAAAAATACTTTCAGATTTTATTAGTATGGATGTTAGCTGGAGAATGTATTTATTATAGCCACTAGTCACAATGCACATATACAACATTTCAGGAGCACATGAAATAGTGTCAAAAATAAGTACTTTGTGCAGTTCCTACATTTTATTCCCCTTTGATATCATACTTTATTACTTTTATTTTAGTTTTCTTCTCAGTAAAAAAAAAAATTGTGTCTGCTATCTTATTCTCTCAGCATAATAGTTCATGTATTTCATTAAGTGAAATTTGACTAAATAAGGACATGTTTACAATTTCAGTTCCAGTTTTGTTTGGATCTTTTCCCATACTCTGTCATGTAGAAATGGAGGAATGGAATCGTCCACATTAAAGTAGTTTCAGTTTCAAAGAATTGCATTATATTAAGTAATCTAATCTTCTTTTCAGGAAATGGATTGAAATGCCATTTAATTACTCAATTTTAAAATGTTGTTATGATTCCTAATTTCACATTATAAAATGGATAAAGGCATTCTCAAATCCTTTTCAAGCTTTACAAAACTGCTAAAAACTCTAACAGAATAACATAGTTGGAAGGGACCTTGGAGATCTTCCAGTCCAACCCTCTGCTCAAGCAGGAGACTCTATGCCATTATTTGTGAAGTAAACCGAGGGGTTCTTCTAATATCGATTCTTTTCTTCAAGTACTTAACATTTTTATAGTGCTTTGTATAAAATAGCCTCCAGTAGCTCATTTTAAAATAGACTACACTTTATTTATTCTGTAATTGAAGTGTTATCATGTTTGAAAAGTGGAGAATAGTTCAATTAATTTGGTTGCTCTGGGGATTATGTCTCCAAACATCGGTCATGCTATATTTTTAGTGTATTTATATTTTTATATGATTTCATTATTTATAATATCTATCAAAATTGTCTTTATTCTATGGATATATGACACTATTCCTTAGCTGTCTCCAAATATGAGATCTTCAATTCGCCCAGTTTTTGGAGGGCCATTTGAAGACGTTTTCTTGTGTTTTATTAGGCTCATGCAATGCTCACCATATATGTCATACTCAGAGATTGTTGACAGGGGACAACAAAATGGTGGGTGCAATTAGGTAACTGAATCTCTGCCCTTTTTTATGTCTATGTAATGTGTGAACACACATTAAAAGGGAGCTGAGCTTCAATCACCTGGACACTCCTGTTTTTAATCACTCTTATTGATGCTTCTATACATACACATTGCTTCTTTTTCAATTAAGCAGTGATCATTGCAACCCTGATGTTTTGTGATTTGGCTTCTTCAATTTCTTAAAACAATTAGTTAAAAAAAACCCAGTGAAATAAAGCCACTGTTGTAGCGCGGGAATAACGAGAGGCACAAGCAAGCTAGTGACAACAGCTCTTTAATTCAGGGTGAGACTTCAGCAAAGAAACACAGGCAACAGCCCTCTTTATATACTTTTCAGAGGCAACCAAGAACCAATCAGAATTCACTGTACATTTGAATTTCCCGCACAAAATAGATACATACATAACACCCCTCCACTCCCAGAAGGCACTTATTCTACCTATTTACATATTTACATACAAAATCACGCAGGTGACCAGGGCATGTCTTAATCCTGGTTGACCTGCGCAGTTCAGTTGTTGGCAAGGCGTCGAGCCGGTCGGAGGGACCTCCCGGCTCCGCCAATGGAACCTCCTGGATTTCTCCGGAGGTGTGGCTATCCCCGGCTGGGAGTGTCGACTCACTGGGGCGGCGCTGGAATTCTGGGTTGCCAGATAAGTATTCCGGCTTACTCGGGCTTGAGGTAGCTGTGTCAGGAAGACTTTGATAGTTAGGACATGAGTTTTCATTTTGTAAACGTTTACGCAATTGATCTATATGTCTCCTCCAAATTTTACCATGCCCTATATCAACTGTGTATGACTTTGGACCGGTAATTCCTACGATGGTTCCCTCTACCCATAAGGGCCCTTTGGTGTAGTTTCTAGCAAAAACTGGTGTTCCTACTTGGAATTGTCTTAGTCCTCCCCCTTCCCCCTTGAAGTTGTCGGGGGAGTAATTGGGATGCAACCAGTCGAGGATGCATCTTAGCTTTCGGCCCATTAAGAGCTCGGCTGGGCTGCGGCCCGAGGTGGGGCACGGGGTGGCGTGCTGTCATCTATTCTAGCCTGCCAGTCCCCTGCATCGAGCCGGGAAAGAGCTTCTTTGGCCATTCTTACAAATCTTTCAACAAGGCCATTCGAAGCTGGATGAAAAGGAGTGGATAATGCATGTCTTATGCCTAATTCGGCTAGGTAGCCCTCAAATTGAGTTGCCGTGAATTGGGGCCCATTGTCAGATACCAGGGTGTCCGGCAACCCATATGTTGCGAATAGTTTTCTGAGTACTTTGATTACGGCCTCAGAAGTGGTAGATGGCATTAAGGCAATCTCGAGCCACTTAGAATATGCATCTACAATGATTAGAAAGTTCTGGCCGTGGAACGGGCCAGCGAAATCGATGTGAATCCTCCCCCATGGCCCCTTTGGTTTTTCCCATTCTCGAACGGGAGCAATAGGAGGATCTGGGCGGGATTCCTGGCAGGGCCTGCACTTCCCCACCCACTCAGTGACATCTTGATCGAGATGTGGCCACCAAACATAGCTACGAGCTAGGCCTTTCATACGAACAATACCAGGGTGTCCCTCATGCAGCATTTCTAGAATGCTGTGCCTTAACCGCGAAGGAACGACCACCCTGTCTCCCCACAACAAGCAACCCCCCAACATTGACAGTTCATTTTTTTTGTTAAAATACAATTGAAAGTCACCACCGTCCACCTTGGTAGGCCAACCCCTCGTTACCCATCCCATTACAGTGCGCAAAACAGAGTCTCTGGCAGAAGCCCTCGCCACCTCGTTTGAAGAAATGGGGCCCGGGGAAACAACGTCAATAAGTAAAACTGGGGCTTCCGGGGTCGGGTTGTCCAACAGTTCGGGCAAGGGGCATTGGCTGAGGGCGTCAGCATGTCCCAGAGTTTTGTCCGGCCGGTGGAGCAGTCTGTAAGAATAGGCGGCTAAGAAAATGGACCATCTGGTCATCCGGGGGGAAAGAGCAGCCAGGGTCGGTTTATCTCCAGCCAAAAGTCCCAAAAGAGGCTGGTGGTCCGTAATGAGTTCAAAGGTGCGGCCAAACAAGTACTCGTGAATTTTTTTGACTCCGGCTACAGCCGCTAATGCCTCCCTGTCTAGCTGGCTATAGTTCCTTTCAGCACTAGATAAAGTGCGAGAATAATAGGCGATGGGCGCCTCTAACCCATTCAGCAGTCTATGCTTAAAACCGCGCCTACGCCAAAGGGGGAAGCGTCACAGACCAACACTAGAGGTAGTTTAGAATTGTACTGGATGAGGAAACTGTCCTCAGACAAAAGTTTCTTTACTGCGTTGAATGCAGCCGCTTCTCGTTTGCCCCACACCCACGGAACGTTTTTTCCAAGGAGCCTGTGCAGAGGCTCCACAACGGTAGCTTTGTGTTTTAAAAACATCGTGTAGAAATTGAGAAGTCCCAGAAAGGCCTGCAGTTCAGACTTCGACTTGGGGGTGGGCATGTTTTGGATGGCTCTGACTTTGCTTTCTGTGGGGTGAATGCCTGTGCCGTCGATTCGGTAACCTAAGAATTCCACTGATGGAACCGCTATTTTGCATTTTGCTCGTTTGAGTTTAAGTCCCGCTTCTCTGAATCTGGTTAGGACTTGTCTAACCCTCTGACCTAACTGAGTCTCGTCTTGACCACTAATCAAAACGTCGTTGAAATACGGGACGACACCTGGAAGGCCTTGTAGAAGGCGCTCCATTGTGCTCTGAAAGAGCCCAGGGGCGATGCTGACCCCAAACTGCAGTCTGGTGCATTTAAAGGCACCTCTGTGAGTTACTATTGTCTGTGATTCTGCTGTAGCGTCATCTACGGGCAGTTGCTGGTACGCCTGTGCAAGGTCTAGTTTTGCGAATAGCTTGCCAGGCCCCAGGGAGTGTAGTAGATGGTGGACTATCGGAACCGGATAGGCGCTCTGCTGCAACGCCTTGTTGATCGAACACTTATAGTCAGCGCAAATTCTAATTGAGCCGTCCGATTTGACTGGCGTGACTATTGGGGTTTCCCACTTAGCCTGATCTATGGGAATTAGCACCCCTTCCTTAATGAGCTTGTCGAGCTCCGCATCAATTTTGGGCTTTAAAGCAAAGGGAACTCGTCTTGCTTTCAGTCTAATTGGCGCTACGTTGGGGTCTAAATTCAAAGATATAGGGGTCCCCACGTACTTGCCTAGAGTCTCTTCGAAAACGTCCCGAAACTCATGGAGAAGGGTTTCTTTGAGGGATGAGCCGCAGATGATGTGAACGCCCGTGAAGCCCATGCCGAGGGCTCGGAACCATTTCATGCCCAGTAGACTTGGTAGTGGCTTGCTAATGATGGTCAGGGGTAGCTCTCTCTGGAACTCGCCGTAGGTGACCCGGAACGTGCCCACGCCTTCTACGGGAACTCAGTTTCCCTGGTAGTTGAGGAGGTGGATTTTCTGTCGGGACAGCTGGGTTTTCTGGAACTTGGGCAGGAGCGTCTTGAGTGTTGTCCATGACATGATCGATAACGTAGACCCGGTGTCGATTTACATTTCGCACGGTCTGCCTTCGATTTCTACTTTCGTGTAGACTTTCTCATCATCGGTTGTGCTGGCTTGGCCGATTCTCGTGCTGTAGGTCTCCCGCTTTTGAGATTCACGCCGTTTCCTCGCGCCGTTATCTTTGATTGGCTGTTTTGAACGAGCCGGTTCTGGTTGGTCGCGGTAGTCACGTGGCTTACGACTACGCGGAAATTGAGCTCTGCAAACTCGTGGTAGGTGGCCTTTCCTATCGCAACGCCTGCAAATGGCTTCTCGGTATTTACACGATTGTCTCTTGTGATCCCCGCCACAGCTAGGACAGTTCTCGTGGCGGCGGCTTTGTTCGCTCAATTTCTTTTCTGTATGGAAGACGTCCTCGTCCGACTCTTCCTCTGTGCTGGTTCGCGCCTCTTCTCTGTGGACGGGGGCTGTTTTCGGCCCATCTTTGCTTGAAATTGGTCGCTGCAGTGCTTCCGAAGCTTTCGTTGATGCCTCGTGTGCTCGGGCTCCTTCTTTTTGAACTTGTTGCCGGAGTTCGTAGCGCTGTACAAATTTGGACGGGACTGGAGCATAGTGGGCTCTCAGGTTGGCTTGAAGGACGTCCCAGGGAACCGTCTGGACTGGGGTTGGCTCGCAGAGGGACTCGGGCATCTCGAATACGTCTGGCCCGCAGTGTCTTAAGAACAGGGCCCCTTTTCTGTTCGCTGAGAGCCCTTGCATTTTGCTCGCTTCCAGGGAGCACTCAAACCTGGTCAGATACGATCCCCACTTCTCTCGGGTCGGGTCGAAGGGTTTTGGCAGAACGTAGGCAGACATGCCGTGTCTCCGTGTTCGCTAGTCACCCTAGCTGAAACTCAGAGCTCTTTTGAATTGCTTCTTGTGGCCTCTATCCCACCTTCGTCGCCAATGTTGTAGCGCGGGAATAACGAGAGGCACAAGCAAGCTAGTGATAACAGCTCTTTAATTCAGGGTGAGACTTCAGCAAAGAAACACAGGCAACAGCCCTCTTTATATACTTTTCAGAGGCAACCAAGAACCAATCAGAATTCACTGTACATTTGAATTTCCCACACAAAATAGATACATACATAACAGCCACTGTCCACAGTTCAGTGGTTTTTATAAGAACTATACCTTCAAGCAGGTATTTGTACAATTTGTGACCTTCAGATGCTTCTAGAAGCCCCATATGATCAATAGAGAGGGAAATTGGGAGCTATAGTTCAACATCATCTGAAGACCACAGATTCATCATTCTTGGCTGAGACTGCAATACTATTTAGACCTACTTAGAAATAAATCCTCTTGAAATCAGTGGTGCATATCATATAAATAACTATAGGGTTGCATTCTTTTGCAACTTCATTTTATTATAAAACAAATATTTGGTATGTGTTTTATCTACACCTTTTTCAATCTGTTTTCTTCCCCAAAACCAGGATTTTTTAAAAAAATCCAGTATTTTTTATAATTCCCTGTTCAAAATATAGATCAGCTATTTCTTCCTTAGTTCTTCTTTTAAACAAAGCAAAGTTGCAACAGGACATTGCTCATGGATTATCACAGAGATGATAATCTAAATCTGTTTCATTTGTCCCAGCTGTTTTCCAGGCAGAACATAAATTTTGTAGATATTACACATCTCAAGTCACTCCACTCTTCTTAATAATTTATGTCAGGATAGTATATGCAGTACAGTACTGTCAACTTTTCAAAGAAACATACAGTATATACAGGTGTTACTTTAGTTCATGCTCCTTGTGTATGAGGTTTACGTTACTTCCCTCCCCTGAAGGTCTACAAAGATCTAGCTAGGTAGCTGTGATGATTCCCAATAAGGATAAAAGGAGTCACATACTGCCCCCAGATGGAGATATTTCCTGTTACTTCCTTCTTTCTCTTTCAGTTTGAATGGATTAATCCAACTTTTTCAGGTGCATGACTCATTAAGTGCATGAAAAGAAATATTATTGTTGTTTTAATAATTGTCGATTATTAAAATTTGTATTATTTATTACGTTGGCTCAAAAAATTCAACACAAACAAGAAAGCTCATTCCTGTGATTAAAACAAGCTGTAACAACACAGCTATAGAGATCAAAATGTCCTCCTTGTGAAAAAAAGGACATATACAAAGAACCTATTGAAATGGGTGAATGCCACAAATGTTGCATTTGCAGGAAGCACCTGTCTGTTCTCCAGGTGTGACATCTGAGCATTTTTTTGAGAGAGAGAAATTGTATGCTCTGGTGCTTTTCCTGAATCATGGGAAGGTGTTGTGAAAAGCAATTGTTGATGTTTAAGAACTGACAAAGAATCTGATGTCTGCTCTGATTTCAGAATCTATCTAAGTATGGAAACTTCAGAATATGCTTATTTCAACAGATTATGGTATCCCTTGCAGCTCTAGCAGGAAAATTTATTGTCCCTGCCATTTTAGGGAATTGGTGTATATTTTATTAATATTTAAAGTATTTATGTTTGACATGAATTCTCTTCAAAGAACATTTCACACAGAATTCCAGAACTCCAATGACGTAGTTTAGTCATTTGTTTTAAGAATTATGGTGGCCTAGCAAATGCTTCAAGCCCTTTCAAAAGTACTATATTGTTATTGCCATTATCAGCTGGGCTACTTTTAATGTTCCCTCATCAAGAAACATACATTTCTCTTAGGCTAGTCCATAAAATATCTTGTCGTGTTTTCACTTTTTTTTCACAGTTGAAATCAGGAGAGACAGCTGCCAATGTTGCTAGAGAACTTGCTGAACAAACAAAAAGCCACTTGCATGCAGGGGATATCACTTATTCGGTTCGTGCCATGGACCAGTTGGTGGGATTATTGGATGTGCAGCTTCGAAACCTGACACCTGGTGGGAAAGACAGTGCCGCACGAAGCTTAAACAAGGTAAGAATCAGCATCTTCTAAACTCATGATTGTAGCTTGGGCATTTAGCCATGAGAATTCCTCTGTACTTATTACTGGGGATGGGGCATTCTGACCCTTTTGAATAGACCTCTTTGCTTTTTATGAAACCAGTTGCTCTCTATTTATAGAGCTGTGGTTTCAGAAAATATCAAGAGAGGGGAATTGTATAAAATAATTTTCTAAACTTTAGTTTCTATGGATTGTAGGAATGAATATAAGTAGTAAATGTATTAATCCAAAAAAAGGTCTCCGTTTTCAATTTCCCTTTCCCGAGTTCAAAATAAAATAGAGTTTGAGTTTTCCTTTACCCAGTTTTTAACTAGAAGGCATAGGATAGATTATCAGTAAAATAGTAATTCTACAATTTCCACCCATTCTACAATTAACCATTTATCTGGTGGTTTGTCTTTCTTCAGTAGGCCATCTAACATTTTACTAGATTCTACAAATATGCATTAGTTTCTCCTAGAATAGCTATTGCTACATATGATATTACAGTATAGAAATAATCCTATTCAATGAGTACTGGAGATATAAATTGGTCAGGTAACAAAAAAACTGCAAGCAAACATCCAAATTCAAAGACCACCAAGAACTCTACCATTCAACCCTGAGCTACATGTATTCTATTGGTAGATAATCCTATGGGTTTCTTAGGTAGCTTTTCTTTTTGTGAATGACAGAAACAAAAATGTAATATCAGGATAACCTATGCTGCAAAAATAATTTGAATATCTACATCATATTGAGGAAACACCAGTTTTTACAGCATTAAAGAATGCTACTCAAGTGTTTTTTCCCTTATTTCTTTATTTAATCAGCTTTGTTTCTACAAATCCCCCCTCTGCCCCATTCCTCACTTTCCCTCTCCCCCAAGAACACTTTCCAATAATTACCATTTGAGAAAAGGAAAAGGATTGCAAACAAAAAAGTTGCTGTCTGAGTTCCTAGCTCTGTGTAATGAGGTTCTGAATATACTGTAGATAACATTTTTCTGGTTGAATTTAATGGAATTTGAGACCCAAAGCATTTGGGAGATTGGAAAACACTAAATTGCAGTGGCAATGTAAACACCATGGAAGAGCTCTGGAAACTTATTAATTCTTACCTTTTGCCTTTCTTTCCAGCTATCATTCTTCTCCTGCCCTTTGCATTTATGGGAAAAGGGGTTAGGGGGACTAGTCCCAGTCCTAGTCCCAGATGTGCTTGCTTGCTTGCTTTCTGGATTTCTAATAACCTTCCTCCCCTTTTCCAAACTTGTTTTCATTGTCAATTTTGAAGACCATTACCCCCCTCCCCCCATCTTCTTCCTCTTTATGCTACAGAGTTTATAGCTGAATCCATAACTGAGACTGATTGTATAAAAAGTGTAGTATGCCCCAGATACCCATTTGATCTCCAGTAATAAGTATTTCTTTATTAGATTCATGTCAAAGTGGAAAAGTGAAATCACTGCTTCATATGCAAAACTGGGATAGACATAACAGACATAACAGACTAGCATATTATAGAAAAGACTAAGTTAGAATTTCATTATTGGGGAAAATTTTGTTCATTTACATGGAGAAATATTCAATCATTTCTCTACTATCTACAGGAATCAAGTACAGCTTGAAGTATAACCGTCCAGAAATTTTTCAGTCCAACATAACCAAAATGTTGTACAATATCTAAAATAACATATTATAATTAATTGTTGAAAGCATTGTGGGTTTTATTCTACAATTTTTTTCAGATCAGGGATTAAAAATGGCAAGTGGTATAAGAATAGAACTAATTTCCCCAATGCAGGATTTTCTTGCCATTGTTTGAGCTCAAGCAGAGTTGAAGCAACCATTCAGCTGGGATGTTTTAATTTGGATCCCCCTCAGTGAACAACATTGGTCCCAACTGCCTATCTAGTTCCTTCCAACTCTAGGTCTCTATGTTTCCTTAGGTACTCAGGTCCAAGATTTATCTGTAGACCAACATCACCTTCTTGTACTGATTCCACAAGAAAAAGAGGTTCTGTCTAGAAGACTTAATATTCTGACTTCTGCCCAATATTAATCAAATACTAACAATATTTGACAATATAGCAGAATTTTCACTGTGTTGTCATGATATGCACATTTAGTTATTTTGCATGATCAAGGTTAGGAACCATCCTGAAGACCAGCTTCTTTCAATGTTATCTACAAAAACTCGCAAGTGGCAAATAATTAAATAAAATAGATAAAAAGCATTCCTGACTACAGTCCCCATTTCAGTAACCTGAATACAATTAGAACAAAATAATTAATTCAAAAATAATTAACCTTTCAGTCCACTTAGAGCTTTTGCTGTAATCCTCTTCTTGTTTCTCCTCGTGGTGTCCAAGGACTAATACATATAAAGTTACTTAATACATGTGAGGAGGAAAGGTTGTAAGGAAGCCTTTTGCCTCCTGACAATTTTACTTGCTATTGTATAAGGTAGGGTAGCAGTAGCATAATTTCCCAGTTAGCATTGTTCATTCTGTTATTTAATTCTGTTATTTAATTAGGTCCTTCTTGAAATCAGTGGTTCAAGTGCCAGTGTGCCCACTAGTTTTTATAACTATTCTAATTGTATGAAATAATTTATTGCATTTGGTTATTAAGAGATAATATTCCTCTTGTTGAAATCCCTGAGCAAAAGCCAAACTTGAAGGAAATCAAAATATTTTTATTCAGTTATCCCTGAAGTTGCTAAGCAACCAAATGTCAATTAGTTTCCTTGGGAGTAAATACTGACATATTGGACCTTCAGATTTACTGGCTTCACAGTGTTCAGGCATCCCATTGGGACCAGATAGTTCTTTTTTTAAAAAAAATAAGAAATGCCATTACCCTTAGTATTATATTACATTTTACAATATACCTGAATTATATTTAATAGCAGTAAAATTTTATTTATCTGTATGCATTTATCTGGAATACATGTGGCTGTAGCTCATTAAAGGATACATCTTTTAATAGTAGTCTGAAAAGGTGCTACCAGACTCTTTCAGATTTCTTTGGAAATTTCTCTCCATACATATGGTCAAAGGAGGCAAAAATTTAAAAAGTTAGGACTGTTTTTTTGCTATTTTTTTTTTTACATAAGGAAGAAATGGAGGAATGATGCAACTCAAGAATAAGTGGCAGTTATGCTTCCAGTTCAGTTCTGATTACAGCCATAGGATCCATATTAGAATCACTTTAATCTAGAGCAGGGGTCTCCAAAGTTGGCAACTTTAAGACTTTTGAACTTCAACTCCCATGGCTGCCTGAGGAATTCTGGGAGTTGAAGTCTACAAGTCTTAAAGTTGCCAAGTTTGAAGGCCTCTGATCTAGAATAAAGCTTTCCACATTCTCTATTAGCAAGACATACTAATATCTTCTTGAATTATCAGGAATTATCATTATCTTCATCACCTCAGTGAGACTCTTGAGTCTTGATAAACTTGCTGGTTAGTGCAAGAATGATATTGTTCAATATGGAAGTATAATTCATTGAAAGATACTGTATGGTGACTCCCTCTCCCCATCTGCTAGCTGATAGATAAAAGACCCCCATTCCAAAAGACAGTGTTTCATATTATTCACTGCACTTAAACAAGCTCTTGCTGTTGATGTTACTTGGACCGATCATGTGGGGAAGAAAAGGCAGTTTGTTCCAGAAGCTGTGTAATCCTTCGGGAGATACAGAATAAAGAGTCTTGAAGGCCACACACAGTTGCCCTGGGGCCTCAGTTTTCCTATTTCTGCTTTAAGACAAAGCAATGTATCAGTTTAAGAATAACATTTTAACCCAATTCGTTAATTTTAATAAGTTTAGTAAGCATTCCATTTCACTACTTCAGTCTCAGCTCTCCCTTCTCCAGACATAGAAAAGGACTGAGATAACCGTATGGCACAGATGTAGAGGCCTTCTAGAAACTATTAAAGGGAAATTGCAACCCACTGGGATACTATTTTGCAATTCTATGGTGGCAAAGCAATTAGTTTTAAAAGAAAAGAATGCAAATAAAGAAACTTCTGTGTTACTACCATCACCTGCTAAGATAAGTTCCCTCCAGGGCATACAATTGTTTACATTTTCTTTTCTTTGTGTCCCCCAAATCATTATTATGCTTTTTCCTCCCTCCCTCTTCCTCCTATTTCCAAGAATCACACAGCACAGAAAATGTCAGCAGAGCTGTAGCTGAGACATTGGGTTCGTTTTGACTAGCTCACACTTGATTTCAGGATTTTGTATAATTTTGATAAATTTGTCTATTAGTTTTAGGCCTTGGTGTATCAAATTGTCCTCTCTTTCAATCTAATTTCTTTCAGAATCTCACTGTATAAATATATCTTAATGGAACATTTGTGATTCTTAGCAAACATTTTGTTTTTAATCATATCATAATGATGTTTAGGATACCAAGTATATATTTTGGATTTAGAAACCAAGAAAAATATAATTAAAAGTATAGAGAGGAAAAGGGGGGGAGGTAAAAATTTAAAGAAAAAAGATATATAAAGAAATAATTTCCCCTTCATCAAGACAAGTCAATAACTTACCACTTTCTCAAACAATTCAACCAAAAATTTTTTCATCCCATCTCATTTTTTATCTATTAGCAGATAAAAAGCCTCATCATTTAATCAGCAAATATCCATTAAAAGACACATGTGCAATTTCATATTCTTTCCTTTAAACAATAGCTTATCATTGAAAATATATCATTTTCTCTAAAACTACAACAAAAAACTTTTTCTCATATATTATCTCATATCTGTAAACAAATTTTTAAAGCTTCGTCAATTCAAACATAATCAAGAAAAAAAATCCATTGCTACCAAAAGCAATATATTGAAATTTTTGATCTTTAATCCTTTCAAATAATGTCCTACAAATTAATTGTTTTCTTCATCTTCTCTCAGAAACTCCTTCCCAAGTTTAACACTTTCCTGCAATTTGAACACTAGAGCTTATCATTTTCTCTAAACATACAACAAAAAAACCCTCTCATCTTTCATAAATCCAAAATAAGAAAGTTGTCCAAGTCACAGTTCTGAGTAGAAATTCATATATCTAAAGTCACTTTACTTTGGATATTTATGTGACCCTTTTAATTTCATCTTAAGTCCTCTGTAACATCTTCGCAAATATTGTAACCTGTCATTTTTAAATCCATATCCAAAACAGCCTGATTCTTAGGATTCCTATTCTATCTCCTCTTCTTAAATCTGTTTTTATAATAGCAGACAATCTTTAGAGAAAGTTCTGAGGTCATGGTTGATAAATATCCTGGAATGCTTCCAAAATTAAAATAGTTTTCTCCATTCTATATTGGTGGGTCTTCTCCTTTAATTGTAATCTTTGGTTTTTTTTCTTGTTGCCTCTAGTAACCAGCCTTCAGGGTCTTCTCTTATGTTTCTCTAATCCACAACATTTTCCCATGGAAAGATTTCATACACTTAGGACTCATTCTCTTCATATACTTTAATAGGATTTTAAACAAACCACAGGATTATATAGATTCTTATAATTAGTTCCAAAATCTTATTTCCAGTCAATCTGGCCCCTTAGTCCATTTATAACTATACAAAATATGGATGAAGGGATCATCCCATTACTACTTATTTCCAAATAAAACATTTTCTTTCAGTTTTTAAATTTACATGAAATTTCTTTTGCTAAGGATTGAAAGAAAATCACTCAGTATATAAAATGTGTCTTTCTGAAGGTTGTCACCCAAAAAGCAATTTACAAGCTATTTCCGGAAGCGATTAAGAAAGGAAATGTGTGAACCAGTCTCCTTTTGAAAGCTCCAAATTTCAGCTTGGGCAAAACTGTCTCTCCTGCCTCTAAAACCCTCAAGAGCCGTGATGGCGAACCTATGGCATGCGTGCCACAGGTGGCACGCAGAGCCCTCTCTGTGGGCACGCTAGCCATCGCCCCAGCCCAGCCCCACTGCACGTATGCGTGCGCCTCCCGCCGGCCAGCTGGCCTTTGTCTCTCTGCCGTGCATGCATGTGCGTGTCCCCCGCATGCTCGGGGCGCATGTGGGGGACATGCATGTGCATTCGCGGAGGGCAGGGTGCATGTGCAGGGGGGTGCAGATTGGTGCAGGAGGCTTTCCAGGCCCAAAACGGGGCACGCAGGGGGGCCGGGATGCATGCAAGGGGTACGCGGGTGCATGCGCGGGAGGCACTCACATTGCATTTTGGGGGTTCGGCCATACATGTGTGCATTCGCACATGTGCGCGTGTGCTTTGAGCACTCAGCACCAAAAAGGTTAACCATCACTCCTCAAGAGAGATGCTTCCCATGGTGAGACTATTTTATGGTCTCACCATGGGAAGCATCTACAATGAAGCCCAATGGGTGATCCAGGTCCTCCCGTTTATCGGAGAACAATTTTGAGACATCAATCCATTTATCATATTCTCATTCTGCATGGTCATTGGCTCCATTGAAAGCAAAGATGTCTTCAGTCCACCATTGTTCCCTGGTTTAAATAATCTGATAATAGTCCACATTACTAGTCCAATTACACTGACAGAATTTTTTTTTCTTTAATTCTGCTGTTTAAACTGTTAGTTAAAGATGAGTTAGAACAAAATCTATGAATTGTCTTTCAATGGCAATTATAATATCAATAATAAAATAATAAATATTTCAAATATATGATATGATTATATACTTTTAAAAATGTATCAAAACAGATTTGGGAATTTAAGTTTTGTTATTCTTTATTAACCTGTGGGGAGATGGGAGGCATAAATGTTTACTAAATAAATAAATAAATATAAATCCATTATAGTACTTTTTCCTGGATTTTCTTCTATATCCCTCTCAATGAAACAGCTACCAATTTTGGCAAGAATTTTATTGAGGTAGATGGCATTTGCATAAAATTGTGTAGTATACCCAAGAAAGAAAATATTCAATTTGTAACAGTTTTGCAATATAACAAGCAAATTATAATTTACTCAGTTTAAATATATTTTGAAAAGGTTTTTGCCAACATTGAATTATTTGTACATTTAAAAGATGAATACTTCTGAAACAACATTGTATATACCAGTGGTGGGTTTCAAAAATTTTTACTACCAGTTCTGTGGGTGTGGCTTGGTTGACGGGGAATGGCTTGGTGGGCATGGCATGGTGGGTGTGGCAGGGGAAGGATACTGTAAAATCTCCATTTCCTCCCGATCAGATGGGACTTCTGAGACAGAGAATAGATGGGGGCGGGGCCAGTCAGAATTTTTACCACCGGTTCTCTGAACTACTAAAAATTTCTGCTACCGGTTCTCCAGAACTGGTCAGAACCTGCTGAAACCCACCTCTGGTATATACCCATGGTCTATGGAAGGCAGTCTTAACAAGTCTGGATGGGAGTACAGTATTAGTTCCCACTGTGAATGCAACACTATTTGTGTTTGCACTCCTAGACATTCTGGTGCAATGCAAAGCACTTTCACTTTTGAGAATATTTCCATGTTACTGGGGGGGGGGGGGTTTAATTTTAAAAAAGTATATATTGTAGAAAAGCCACCAATTCTTAGACCCATATTATTGTCAGATAATCTATTTCCACAAGATCAAGGAATAATTATCTACCTTGAAATTTAGGACTTTCCAAATGTTATTATGGAAACATATTACTTTGAACCACTATGATTATTGTAGTGGTTCTCTTGAATAATGACCAAGTAATTTATCTGCTTTAATAAATATTTTATAGATACTTTCAAAAGCTCTGCTCTTTTTGTTGCTTTGTTTCTGATCACTCAAATATTCTCAACTAAATTTACTTAAAGAGATTTTCTAAATTTCCACAACACTCATTATGGTGTTTCTAAGTTTTTTATGGAGAGAGAGAGAGAATAAGTAAATGTAACTGTAAGCTTGTTATTGCTTCATAAATTATTTCCATAGAGATACTGTATAAGTATTCTGTATAAGGTCTATTTAAATTTCTCTAAAATAAGTTAGTTTTGCATATTGTAGTTCAGTTTATTTATTTTTTAAAAAAGATGTACAGTAATTAGATAACTGGCAAAAACTGCAGGTTCTCTTAAATTATATTTGCCAAGAGACTGATTGAGACTCTTGAATTATAGGAGAGGACATTCCCTGTGGCAGAATCCTAACTGGAAATCCTAAGTCCTAAAACTTTGTTCAGTTTTAGTACACCGCAAACATTGCTTTGTTGCTTAGTTTTAAGTAACTTAAGCAGTCTTAAAAATAAAGAGATATCTTTAGGATAGAAAGATTTGAATGGAAATCTATAATGTTTATACTTTATCTTAATAATTTTAATAACTTAATATTTGTAACTGGTGTTCAGTAGTAAGATGCCTAGCTTAAAGTCTATAATATTATTAAGAAAAAGGTACTCTTGTATCATTGTTTTATATATTTTGTTTTCTCCTGATGCTAATTTGTTAAAATTCTGTTTTCATAACTGCCATCTTTGTGGAACCAGCTTCAGAAACGGGAACGTTCTTGTAGAGCTTATGTCCAGGTACTTTCCATTTTCTCATTAAATATATCATTGTTTTGTCTGCTCTTTTTTACTACTATTATTATCTACTACTACTACTATTATTATTAGAAAAATCATACAACTCTTTAGAAAAATAGGTAATTATCTAGTCTAGGGAATCATTAATAAAAGATAGGAAAAAGGATAATAAAAAAATCTTGTTGAAAAGTAGAATGTATTTGAAAGTAAAGATCTGATCAGAAAAATCCCATTAACTGAAGTGATTATTTCTGTGGCAACTTATTCTTTAGATAATGCGATCACAATATGTGAATGGTTTGGGTGATTTCAATTCTTCCCATTTTCACAAGTGATTGGCACCAAGTTTTTTATATGCTAGATCTGAAAATCAATTATCACGTGATTATAGTTCCTATAATGTGTTTGTGAAGGGTAGCTACCTGTCAGTCCTGATTTTTCTTTTTTTATAGATTATATTAATATTTAAAAAATAACTAGATGAGGGCTGGCATGATGAAAAATAAACTGCTGATTGCTAGAATTGTCTTATGAGCTACATAGAGCATAGGTTTATTGTCCATGATATTCAGATATCCACACTTTTAAAAACACATACAAAATATCATATAAAGGATAATTTGCTGAAATTGTACAAATGGTTTTGGTCTTTAATTATTGTTAAAATTAAATTAATTTAATTAAAATTAACCCCCCCTTAATTGTTTAAGAAAAGATTTGCCCATTCCCATTCTTCTTTTCCAAGAGACAAAATGCTGCTTTGAAAACGCTACTACAGGTATGAGTGCATAATATCTCTATAAACATAAGCACTCTGAGAGAAACTAGAAAGGAAATAGATATGTTTAGAACTAAATAAATAAGTGGAGAGTTGTCAGAAGCAGGGTATTTTTTTTTTGACTTTCCAAATATTTGTAATGGTCTTCTTCATCTAGACTTTTCATTTTATTTCCATATCCTGATTCCTTCAGTTTTCACTATTTTTCCCCTGTTTGTGCTGAGGATGGCACATTTGCCAAGTCCAAACTCCAATATCTTGCAATATCTTGATTGTATATATATATACAGAGAGTATCGAGCAGCAATTTTATTTGAGATAGTGTTTTCCATACAGCTTCAGTTCATCCATGTAAAGGAAGTGGGATAGCATGGCAGATGTTTTTGATGTTTCATAGCCTGGCCTGACTTGTTCAGTACTGTTGACAGAAGAATCAGTGCAATGACAAACAATAGTGATCATAGTGAATCTCCTTAAAAGAGTCCTCTCTTAATGTTAACCTCTCTCAGTTTATCACCATTGATCAGCAACTGTGTCATCCATTGTGCCATTGATCTTTGCAAAAACTTCTCATGTTTCTCCTGACTCCTTTTATTTCTAGGCACTTGATTATTCAGTCATGTGACAGGAGTTGAATATCTTTGCCATAATCATGCCAAGCTACATTCTAGTTGGTCTTACTTCCCTTGCAGTTTTCCAAAATTATCTTGTCAATTAGGAGCTGATCTTTTGTTCTTCTGCTGTTTGGGCAGTTTCTTTTCTGCTTAGGTGGAATGAAGTTATTTTCAAGTAGATGCTGTTGAACTACATCAGCTACTACATCAGTTATTATTCTTACTTGTTTTAGCTGAACATACACAAAGTATATTTTGATTCCAGGATTAAGAATTAAACTATAAAAGCACACAGCTAATTAAAGACTGATCCCAGCTTAAATGTTGGCTTTGATTTATAAAAGATGAAGATTACACTTGAAAGTAAAAGTGGAGGTCCATTGAGGCTAACATATACTGTAAGCAAGCTCATATATAAGTCTCTCTGTTTATAATTTATATTGTAAAGATTTTAAGGTGGGCAATTTAATAGGTATTAATTTCCACTCTTTTTGGCTCACAATCATAAATAAGATAATTTCTCTTTATTTGTTAAATACCTCCTGATTAATTTGGAAGGGGGTATTTTTGCTCCCATGTAACTGTGCATTTTTAAATCTTCACTAACATTTAAGAGCATGTTACACTGGAAAATCTGGTCCTGTTGCTTGTTATGTTCCTTTTAATTAATGGAAGGGGCTTGCCAAAAATCCATCTTTCTCCTCTTTCACAGGCCATGGTTGAAACAGTTAATAACCTTCTGCAGCCACAAGCTCTAAATGCATGGAGGGACCTTCCTGCACGTGATCAGCTGCGGGCAGCCACCATGTTACTGGACACTGTGGAAGAAAGTGCCTTTGTGCTTGCAGATAACCTCCTTAAGACTGATATTGTGAGGGAGAGCACAGACAATATTCGTAAGTAGCAAAAATAGCTTGGGAAAAATACATTTCAGTTCTATCTTAGTTAACTTTTTTTGAGAACAATTAGTCCATTATTTGTTTGTGGTAGATATATGGGAGAACTCACTTCTACAAATCTTTAATGAAAGCTGACAAATATAGTGTTAAGAAGATAGTGTTACATGTTGTATCCTAGTTGGAATGAATAAAATATGATAGTCCATGCTTAGTGAAAATGTCAAACACATTTTCATGGGTTGTTAATAAGATCAGTGACATTTCTCAATAGTATTTTGCACATTTCTAAAAGAAGGCCACATCATACTTACTTGTTGTATGCTTTATTTAACTAGCATAGGTAATATGATACATAATATATTAGGTAAATTCATTCAGAAGACTAACAATTTACTGTTATTAAGAATGAAGGCATATTCCAATAAGCAGCCAAATAACACAATACAGTAGATTCTTTGGAAATTATACTTATTGTAAAGGTAAAATACAAATGTCAATGCAGTCCTGAGCTGCATTAATAGAGGGATAGAATCAAGATCACGTGAAGCCTTAGTACTGTTTTATAATACTTTGGTAAGACCACACTTGGAATATTGCATCCAGTTTTGGTCACCATGATATAAAAAAGATGTTGAGACTCTAGAAAGAGTGAAGAGAAGAGCAAGAAAGATGATTAGAGGACTGTAGGCTAAAACATACAAATAATGGTTGCAGGAATTGGGCATGTCTATTTTAATGAAAATAAGGTCTAGGGATGACATGATAGCAGTGTTCCAATGTCTAAGGGGCTACCACAAAGAAGAGGGGATCAACCTATTCTCTAAAGCATCTGAAGCAAAGAAGCAATGGATGGAAACTAATCAAGGGGAGAAGCAATCTAGAACTAAGGAGAAATTTCCTGGTTGTTAAAACAATCAGTGGAACGACTTGCCTCCAGAAGTTGTGGGTGCTCTAATCCTGGAGGTTTTATGAAGAGATTGGACAACCATTTATCTGAAAGGGCATAGGGTTTCCTGCTTGAGCAGGGGATTGGACTAGAAGACCTCCAAGGTCCCTTCCAATTCTGTTATTCTGGGTATTAAACAGTGAGTAAATGAATAAATGACACAAGATTTGTGTAATGATTTATTGTTTCTATCCTATCTGTTACATATGAACTGATGCATTCAGAAATTGGAGTATGATGTTATCATGTAGGAAAATAAAATTAAATCTGCATAGAAAAAATTACAGTGAGAACATGGGAAGTAAGAAGCATCAACAAGGGAAAGCTTAACACAGTGAAAGACTAAATGAATCGAATACATATTAACATCTTAGACAGCAGTGCCGGAAATGGACTAGATCTTTGCTAAAAAGATCATGTTATTTATTACACAAGATAGAAAAATCATAGTGTTGCTTGCTTCCAAAGCCAGAAAGGATAAAGCAAGGCAATATATGCACTCAATGATCAAATAGTATTGCTTAGACTTGCAGACACCTCTTTAATACAGGTAGTCCTCAAGTTAGGACAGTCACTTAGTGATGGTTCAAAGTGATGACACCCACTCCCAAAAACATTTATGACCCAGTCCCAAAGTTATGTATGTTGCAGCATCACTGCAGTCATTTGCCGTTACAACTGACCACAGAGATGCTGCAACATGCCCCTTCCTATTTCTCCCACAGGTACTTGGCCTGCTTTGCTAGCCCACTTGGTTCCACGTGCTCTTCCCCACCCCATCACCAATTACTCCTTCAAAGATCTCCAGAGTTCAAGATGTTAGGGTAGGAAAAGAGAACAGGCTGGGCCACATAGCAGAAAAGCGGCCGTCTTTTTTCTAGCAAAGCTTCCCACCCGCACCCCCACCCCCATTGCTAGCCTCTCCCCCACCATTAGCTCCACCAGTGCTAATTACACTAGTGGAATTAATGTTTTATTATTTATTTATTTTATTAATTCAATTTGTATGCCACCCCTCTCCGAAGACTCAGGGCGGCCTGATGGGGGGAGGCATATGCAGCCAATGGCAAAACTCTCCTTCCTGCAGGCCTCTCTCTTCTTTGCAAAAGCATTTGTAGGAATGTGAGATCCACTGTGTTCCTTCATGAGGATGGTTGAATAAAGGAAAGGCAAACACATGGGTATTTGAAGTAGGAGATGAAAAGAATCAAGCCAGTGACCATGGAATATACCCATCATAAATTGATGCCCACCTGATGTTTTGCACTACTGATTTAAACCAGAGACAGCATTGCCATAGTAACCTGAGAAGGTGGAAATAGTACTCCAAAACATCAAGCAAAGACAATATGTTACAGAGTATTGCTACTAAACACCTTTGGTAAGTGCAATTGAGTCACAAGCCTGTTGTCTTCAGTATGGAAGTTTGCCACAGAAGCATGCACAGTTCAGATATTTTTTACTTGTAAACTGTCCAAAGTCACTTAGGTGAAAAAGGTGATCTGGAAATTAGAGGAGAGAGACAGAGGCAGAGACAGAGACAGAGACAGAGACAGACAGACAGACAGACAGACACACACACACACACAGAGAGAGACAGACAGACAGACAGACAGACAGACAGACAGACTTACTCACTCACTCAGTGAGTTAGTAACTAACATATTTGTTGCACCTCAGTTGAACCATTTCTATGCCCAGATTACCTGTATTTCCATTTTATAAGTACCAAAACTATTTCTAAAAGAAAATTGATGTCCCCCTTCTCTACTGAGGTATTTTTTACCATGTTTATTGAGAAGAGGGGACTGAAATAACATCTTTAAAAGAACCTTTGATATATGATATTTCAACAAAGATATCATTTGGTAGAGGTTTTTTGTAAATGAGTTTTGATTTTTATTATTGGTTTATATTATTTAAAAATGAACTTAGCAGTCTCATAAACATCTCTTGGGCTTTTGAATCTAGAATCAGTTTGAAGTGGCATGTGTTAATTATGGTACATTTCAGGCCAACTGTCAATTGTATGCTTACATTTGCAGAGATATGGCATTCCAATAGCCACAGTCACAGTCTGCGGTTACAGACTGAACCATTGAGGCCATTAGTTTCTGGGACAGTAGTGTAGGCCACTAATATTTTAATCATGGACTGTTAAAATACAATGAAGTGGCAGAGTTCAATGAGCTCTTTACCCCATTGTGTCCAAAACAATTCCCTCAGGCTGCATGCCCTGATAATTTGGTCTCAGGTGGCTCATGTTCCAGGAACATTATTAAACATGAATGCTATAATTGCTAGATGCCAAGTTAAAAGAAATGAAATAGAAAAGAAATATGCCAATGGTCTCCTCATTAACCTTATTCCAATGCTTGGAAAAAAAGATACCAGTTTGCCAGATTTGTCTGTTGTAATACTTGGAATTAGCTACTTTCTAGGACTTAATCAATCAATCAATCAATCAACTAATCAGGAAGATTTTGATTAGTTAACTAATTCATTCCTAATAAAAGTGCATTCAAACATATATCCATCTGTACTGAATGTAGACATCATTTTGTACAAGATACATACCATATAATGTTTTTTGTATAAAATTGAGTGATAGAAGGACCCATCATTCTAACTCCCTGCTCCATGCAAGAATCCAAGTTAAAGCACACCCAAAAGACAGATGTCTAGGTTCTCTACCTGGACATATTTGATGAGGGGGAATTCAACATATTTCCAATTATTAACTCTTAAAAGATTTTTCTTCTCCTAAGATTTAATCAAAATCTACTTTTTTATAACTCATACCCATTGTCCTTAACTTTCTTCAATGACATCTTTTCAGATATTTGAAGAGAGCTAGTGTATATTCTCACCACCACCATCAAATCAGTATTCCAGGTTGAATCTGTTACAAAATAAAGTCAAGTCATTCCCATGATTCAGACATTGTGCTTCGTTTGATTTTAAAATTTCATTTCCGTTTCTTCCAATCACATCACATTGCCAACCTATCTTCAGGTTGTAGTTAAGTACTGGTACAAAAAAACATGGACTGGTTGGCCCCAGTCATGGCCACCCCTTTCACTAATAGAAATTCTTCTTTCCTGATCAATGAAGCCTGGAATTGAACAATCATGATATGAAAAAAAAAACAAGGAGACAAGAAGGATCAAATTAATTCTACCCCATCAGCTGGATGGTGTAGAATAATATTGTGGTAGAACCCTCTATAACAGGGGTGTCAAACCCATGACATCATGTTGTCGTCACGTCACATATCGTGACTTTTTCCCCCTTCGCTAAACCAAGGGTGGGCACGGCCAGCACATGATGCATCTGGCCCGCAGGCCACAAGTTTGGCACCCCTACTCTATAATGTCTTAATTTAAATACAGTTGTTATTCAATCTCTTAGAACCAGGCTCTGGGAGAAGCTAGCTGTTTCTTCTATTGATGCCCTTTTTTGTTAATTATGAAATTAAATAAGATGGAATCAAATTCATTGTAGTGCTTTAGGGCAGCAATCCCCAACCTTTACAACTTGCCATCCAGCTTGTGGGGGGGAGAAGGGGAACTGGGCCACATAAGGCCAATTTCAAACAGGCCATGCCCCAGTAATCCAGCCACTTGCGCAACCTAATTCTGAATAGGCCATGGCATGGTAATGGGCCGTGGCCCAGGGGTTGGGGATCCTTACTTTAGGCTACCTATAATGTGAATTCATAAAGAGGTGATTGTGCAAGGTTGAATTTTGGTGCCCCTGCTTCTTAATTCTTATATTTGTTCATTAAACTAGGTTTTGATAAAACTTCAGTTTCAGTGGTGGGATTCAGCCAGTTTGCACCACTTCGGGAGAACCGGTTGTTAACTTTCTGAGCAGTTTGGTGAACTGGTTGTTGGAAGAAATCATTAAGGCAGAGAACCAGTTGTTAAATTATTTGAATCCCACCGCTGCTCAGTTTCCCCACTTCCAGACATGTTCAGCAGTAGACCTGTTTTTGGCCAGTCTATTTAATAAATTTAAATGGCTGCCCATCTCATATACATAATGCAAGGCAGTGAACAATTAAAACAAATAAAAATACAGTAAAACATGGATTTAAAAAGCAAAGAGCTGCCAAGAACCTTCCTAACTCCCTACACTCAGATTTTTATAAGAGCACAGAGCAGCAATCCTCCTTTTAGCATATATGGGCTTGAGACCGGGCCTCTGTACTCTTGTCCATTATTGCAGTGAGGAACTAATCAATAGCTACAATAAAACTAAAGTAGACAACTTCTCCAAAAGATATGTTATATCTGTCATTCCTGGAAAATCAAAAGCTTCAGAATGTTTCAAATTAAAGTTTTTAAACATTTGGACACATCCTTCCAAACCATGATAACCTGGAATCATCAGCAAAGAGATGTTACTACTAGGACATATAATCTCTCAAACGCAATTCTGCATATTGCTAACTGCTGCAGCAATAACCATATTCCAGCTGCAATGGAAATCATCAGAGCCAGGGTCATTAGCCACCTGTTATATATACATAGGTGCTTTTCTATTCCAATGCAAGCTCTAGTGATGTTATTCAATCAAAATTTTTGAGAGTTTGTGGCAAGCGTCCTATTCTGTATCAGATTCCTTTCTGAGACTGGAATCTAGCCTAGTTGTCATGTGCAGTTGCTGCTTGAAATATTGGAATAAAATTTCATTTTTCTTTTTCTTTTTTGTAACTCTGTTGCCATCTTTATCTTGCGGGATAATTTTATCTGATCCAAATTGATGATACAATGGCCTTCAACACTGATATTCTGAGTGACTTAAGGAAAACCCCATTCCTCTATGGACAGGATTTATTTAAGAGCTCTGTCATGTACAAAAGCTTTCATTTTTGTCTTTTATGCATTTTTGCCATTTAGAAGGAAGTTTCATTAATGTCTCTGAATATATTTTGCACCTGTTCAATAAAATGTGTTTCCATTTTCATATGCTCTAATAAGGTTACCTAATATCTTCTTAATCCATTCTCATGTCTGTTCAGAGGAGAAAACCTTTCTAGTGTTAGCTAATAACTCATCTGCTATGTATTGTGGCCATTGTCAATGTTTTAGGGGCTTATGTGTTTTGCAGTTTGGGTAACTGGGCAAGATCCAGTCTTCATATTGTTGCAAGCAATCAGCCTGGGATCAGATTAATTCACTACTAAAACAAGAGACAGATGGAAATAGCCCTTCTGCCCCAAAAAGAATGTTGTAGTCTAATACCATGTTGGTGGGAGTGCAAAGCAGTACAAAAATTTGAATGTTTATTTCATTACAAATAGAGCTTTCACTTGGTACATGAGAACCATTTGAATTATTTTGTTAAGTTTATTAGCTTTCCTACAATGAATTAACTGATCAGATTGCCATCTTGTGTGTGTGTGTATGTGTGTGTGTGTGTGTGTGTGTATTAAAGTTGTAATATTGAGAGAAACTAGTTGACTTCTCAAACAATTTATTCTATAGACGTATCTTATATAGACTATATGGTTCTGTTAGCTTGGATGAGTTGAATCTGTATTCTTATTCAGTGTGATGAATAGTTGCCAAGGAGATGAATTCATTTTATTGATTGGGATAAAATTATGAACCTCCATTTTGAAAGATCATATGAAGAGTTTCCCAGATGTAATAGGAATGTTATTGAATATTTGAAATATGTGGAAATACAATTCCTATTTTGTAACAAAATGTTGCCTTATGATGGAAATTATGAATTTTGATATGGATTGGTTTGGTTATTTTGCTTGTATTTAAGGTTAAAATTATAAATTATAACTTGTATGGTGTTCATAAAAATAAGCTCCTTTTGAAGCGTATTTTATCCCTTGGAGAAGTATGCAGATACAGGGATATCTTTCTGTCATGCCAAAAGACAACTTCTATATTGGTTAAGATTCAAAAATACAGAAGATATTGCCACATTGAGCTTTATATGCAAGGAAATTCCTGTATCACAGAACCTGAATATAAGAATGTTTAACGAATTCTCTCTGCCTTGCAAAAGTTTGTGTTCATTTGCCAGCTAAGCAACTAAGACAAAGAATATCGCTACCTTTTTTCTCCTTTGGCCGTCACTGCATTCATGGTTATGTTTCAGGGTGCAAGATTCTTGTTAGGGATTGACTTCCTTCTTTCAGCCAATTTTCCCATGTCCAATTTGCAATGGAAAAAAATGTTGGAAGGTAATATTTGGTGAGCTCTTCACACTCCCTACTGTTTTGGTAAATGAAGAACAAAATAGAACTTTTGTGTGTGTGAAAGTCTCTTGGAATGATGAGCATAGGTTCGGCATCAGCCCGTATCATTTTACAAATCATCTCCAGTAGTTTGCTTTGCTCTGCAGGGTGCTTTGGTGCCTGTTTATTCAGCTAAAAACAGCCAAATCAAGCCCTGGGAAGAAAAAGAATGACATAACACCTTAGCCTACTCAAAGTCAGCAGAACACACACACACCCCAAAAAAACTCCACCTCTATTTAAGGCACACTGATTTGAACAAACTATTCTTCCTCCTCTTGTCCTATAATCCATTATCAATATTTTGCATTTACACATGTTCCATTTTTCATACTAACAGAGCTGGAAGTTGCAAGGCTAAGCACAGATGGAAACCTGGAAGATCTTAAATTTCCACAGAATACTGGCTTTGGCAGCACCATCCAGTTGTCAGCAAACACATTGAAACAGAATGGCCGAAATGGTAAGCTCAGCTCTTCACTGCTGCTTTTACGAGTGGAGAAATGTTTTCTTTTAAGTTTAAATCATAGCACTTTCACTTTCTTTCCGGCTATAGCACATTATTAAAGTAAGTCAAATTGCTTTATTGAATCAAGCAGACAACATACAATGGCTGAATCCTCAAAAACAAAGTCTCTGGGTCCTTAGTTGTCTTGGTCTCTTGTAGCAGCTGCTGCTGCTAAATGCCAGATCAGCCTGCAATAAGTTCTTCCCCATCTGAGATATATTGTACATGAGAGGGCTGGGTTGGCATAAATAACTGAGATCAGCCTGAGCATAGAAGGCAGTCCCCTCTTGGAAATCTAACTACCCAGCTACAACTCCAGGGGCAGGGCAAGTGAAGTGGCTGTAGTCATTTGGGAGAGTGATGGCTTCAAGAGGTACTGCTGTTCAGATAACCATATGAAGTCCTGTTTGTGCAGAAGGGCTTTAGGGATCAGGTGGAATTGCTTTTTGCCATACCAGGCGTCCTGGTGCACAGCAGCATCTCACTTAGAACACCATGATTCTGTTGCTACACTTACAGTTGAGTTTTTCAATTTATATTACTTTAAATCTGCCTTCCTTGCATCCAGAATCAGAAGTGCCCTGGGATTAAAGACCACTTTAGGCACAAGGCCAGCTGGGTGCTGGCCTTGTCCTTAAGTCACTCTCTCTCAGTTCTAGAAAGTAGCCTGTGGGCAAATTATTTGAGCAGCTGTCAAACAAAATTGCTTGGATTTGCTCTGAGCTTCAGCTATGTCAGACCTATTGAGTTGATTGAGACAAGTCTGGCTTGTTATTTGGGAAAAGCTTAAACCTATTGATCCTAAAGAAATTAACAGAATCCTTAGAGGAGCAAGCATGTCTACACACGTGTTAGATCCATGTCTCTCCTGGTTGGTCAAGGCCTCCAAGGAGATGCTGTATGGTTAATTCAGATTGTGCTCCTTCAAGTTAGTCCTTGAAGGAGATGGTCTAATCTCTGCTTTAAAAAGCAGTTATCTGCCCACTCTTCAAGAAACCATTATTGCACTGAATAGTAGGCACAATTTTTGTCCTATCTCCATCTTTCCCTTTTTTGAGGAATCTTGCTGAAAAGGTGATCAGTGACCTCTTTACATAAAGATGGTACTGAGATCCATTGATCATGGTTATAGATAAACTCTTATGGGTCTAGGATGAGGTAGTATATATCCAAAGGAGGGAGAGGACAAAACCCTGCTCCAATCTCCTGAACTGTTCTAAAAGAATGTCATAAGAAAATAAGAATATGGAGACTTCCGGTTGATGATTCGTGGCGACATAGCATGGTAAGAGCGATCGCTCCTTTCCACCGCCACTTATCGCCGCATTTTGGGGACCCTTCGAGGCGTGGAAGCTCGGAGGGCTTCGCGGACAAAAGTGAGGCATCGGCAGGCTGAGTGGTGAGTTGCAAACCCACTCAGTCGGACCGATATTCACTGTCGAACCAAAGCGGCGCCGTCTGCCTTCTAATGGCGGACCTGAAGCTGCGATAATCAACAAGACGGGAAGCAAGAAATTCTGGTGAAAGGGGTGTTAGAGAGCACTCATATCCACTCTCCCCCAAACACGCTTGAATTCTGCCTTAATTGTGCTGGCTGGATCGAATCGAAAGGATCTACAAAGGAACAAGTGGCGACTGTGAGAGAAGGAGAAAACGACATTTGAGGGGGATTGCAGACAAGCCGGTGAGAGAGCAGAAAGAAGAGATTTGCAAAGCAGAGTAGCGGCGCTATTAAGAAAGTGGATGTAACCTGCCGATCGGGTGGAATGAGAGAATTTTGAGGATTCCGAATGTGGATTTGTTGACCGAGAGAGAAGAGCGGCTGGAGTTTAGAACCGGAAGTGTAACCATATTGAAAACCAATGAAAAGAACAACGAGTGGCTAGAGCGGCTGGAAGGACTACCAGGAGAAGACAAGTAGAACAATTGAGCTAAAATGACAGTTTAAGACACTAAGAGACGGGAGAAGTGAAAACTGGTGATATTTGACTATTACGTCTCCCCACCTTGGCTTTTATAAGTGAAGATACTGAAGGGATTAAGAACAACCAAGTAATTAATTATACTGATATAAGTTTTTATTAATTCCAGCACATTAGTGTATTTATATTTGTATTGTTTTCTACTTAGTCTTTTATCTGTTTACATTAGAAGAATTTATTTATATAGCTGTGCATAAGCTTGATTATATTAAATATCTAACTTATTGTAACTATTTATACTTAAGGCATATTCCTCTTCACAAATTAATTACACTATTTAGTATAATTATTGATAAATATTGGATTCAGTGACTTATTAATTGATTGATAAACTAACTGATTACTTATTTAATTACTTATATATATTAATTAACTGATTGTGTTTATAATTATTTATATACACATATATAGATAACTACTATTAATAAGAACATATCTAATTTTTATTTGAGATTAGTTAAACTAAGTGTCACTGCCTTTTATAACTGATTAACTACTAGTAGAACTATAGCTGAATTAAGTGACTGATTGATATATAATATATGATTAGTTATTAGTAGAACTGCAATTGATTGAAGGGTGAATGTGAACAATATATATCAATTTGATTATTGGAAAGAGATTAGCATTCGAATAGACATAACTGGATTCAGATAGAAGAGACCAATAGACGATTGAACCATTGGGGGATTGAATTAAGGGATAGATAGAGTAGGGAGTTGCAATAGATAAGAAATAATCAAAGGCACATAGCGTTTCTAGCAGACTAAAAGAAAATAGATCAAGCAAAAGGAAAAAACAAATAAATAACAACCAGTGGGTGACCATCTGGAGAAACATAGAAAAGATAGTTAGAGACCAGGCAAGAGTGTTGAAGGAGATGACAAGCCTCTCATCTACAGTGACCAAAACCGGAAAGAAAACAACCCAAAACCTCTCCAATCCCACGATTACAATGTCATCACCTGCAATGCAAAAGTCAACAGAAGGCCTATCTAAGACTGAAAAATCAGCCATGATCCCCACTATGCAAGCAATGCAGTCGACGCTAACAATGATACAAGAGACAATGCTCATGATGCAGGAAAAGATGTCTAGTAACCATTTAGAACTGAAAACGGACATTAAAGTTATTGACCAAAAAATGAATGATATACAGCAGACGATACAAATGAACAAACAGAAAATAAATAAGATGGAGTCCAAAATTGAACAACAAGAAAAGAACCTGGACACAGTAGACCAAAAGCTAATGGCACAAAATAGGGAGCTGGAGGACTCGATCACGCAATTAGAAATGGATAGAGCCTCCTTCTATCTGCGTTTTCAAAACATCTCCGAGGATAAGGATGAAAACTTGGGTCAGGTTATGGCGAGGTTCTACAACAAGATACAGATGAGATAATAAAAGAACTGGACGAGGTATATAGGGTGCAAACCAATTATGCCAGACGAAATAAGTTGCCTAGGGAAGTTCATATAAGGTTCACTCGGAAAAAAGTCAAGGACATTTTCTATAATATGGTGAGGGAAGAACCAGTCAGTTATAAAGGAAAGGAGGTGATTGTGTTAAAGCAAGTTCTGAGGAGGGTGAGAGAATTAAGAAGGGATTACAGATTCCTAGCTATTCAACTGAATAAGAGGAACATACTCTTTAGGTGGATTCTGCCGGAGAGTATGTTGATAACATAGCAAGGGAAGAAAATTAAAATAGGAAGTTTGGTAGAGGCCCAGGACTTTTTAGATCAACTGAGAGGGTTAGAGGAAGACCAAAGCAGTAAAGAGGAACTGGAAGCAACCAATACAGAAAAGGAACTCACCCAGCAAAAAAGATCCAAAGAAGGGACCCCGGAAGAGAAAGAGACAGAAGAGAAGGAAAGCAAGGAAGTAAGGAAGAAACAAAGATCACAGAGAGTTACACGCGCAAATAGGAACTAAAACAACACAAGGTTATAAGACTGGAAACTCTTATCGATTAATGTAAACGGCTTGAATGACTATAAAAAGAGAAAAATATTCTTCACCAAATTAGTTAAGCAAAATGCAGATATAGTATGTCTTCAAGAGGTTCATATAAAAAAAAGAAAATGGAAAATACTTGGAATTCAAAAAACTTGGAAATCTTTATACCTCCCTAGCAGAAAAAAAAGAGAGGGGTGGCTCTGTATATTAAGAAAGAAAGAAAAGCAGAACTGAAATATGCAGACTCAAAGTGTAGGATTCTAGTGGTGGAAATTAAGAGAGGTAATTCCTCAATATTAATAACAGCTATCTACGCTCCGAATAAAAATCTGAGAGAATTCTACAACAAAGTATGAGAAATATTAAGCAAAATGGACAATAGCAACATATGCATAATCAGAGATTTTAATGGGGTGGTAGACCCGAATAAAGACCACAAAAGACCTAAAGCCCAAAAGAAAAAAAGGAAAAACCTACCAAAATCTTTTTTTGATCTTGTAGATGAACTGAATCTGGCAGATATCTGGCGAACCTTACATCCACACAAAAGACAATATACCTTCTACTCAAACCCCAAAAAATCATGGTCCGGAATTGATATGATGTGGGCAAGCAGAAATATAGGAATAGATATCATGTCAGCTGAGATTGCACCCAATATATGGGCGTACCACAATCCATTGGAGATCAAATGGAGGAGCGGATATAAAAGGAGGAATGTAAGATGGAGATTAAACATACAATTTCTATGGGATAAACAAAATATTGAGAAAATAAGGGAGAACTAAAAGCTTTCTTCGAAGAAAATGAAAAGGAACCAACCGATCAAGGAATAATTTGGGATACAATGAAGGTATTCCTAAAAGGACTGGCAATAGCATATGGAGCACACAAAAACAAAGAAAAAAGAGAGACCCAGAGGAAATTGTCGGAAGAATTGGAGAAAGCAGAGAAGGAAGTACAGCAGAACCCGGACAATGAGACAGCAAAAGAAAATTGGATGACTATACG